ATTTGTAGCAACTTAATAGTGTGAAGTTATGAAATTAATATAACTTCATATGCTATTCATGCATAGCTCATCATAAAGACAACTAAATGCAGAGCAGCTCTCTTATAATGTTGCTTATTGAAGAGTAAGAATTTAACACCATCTCTTTTTTTCTTTTGAAAGAATTAGAGTTTTCTCACCCATATTTAAGGGAAAAACTGATTTTGCTCTCATATAGAGGATGTTTGTAAAATCTCAGGAATAAATTTTACTCTTTCGGACACAGTTCCTTTCATACCTTTGGGAAATCTGTAGCCCTGGTTGACAAATAGATTTGATCAGCATTTATCAAACTTTGTACAGATTCCATTGCCTTACACAAAAGCAGCTTGTGAGGTCAAATGTCACCTGTCCCATTTGGTATTTAAAACATATAACATTGTAAGGCTCTGAGAAGTCCTAGAGGATAGAAATCTGTTTAACTGTGTTTAATGCAGAATTTCCCAATTTTTTGACCACTTCAGGAAACATTGGATAGATATTTGCCTTCACATAGTTTGAATGTTAGTAGAAAGCATCATTTGTTTATCATACCTGAGAAGCTAGCAAAACAGGAAATAATTAGATGTATTCCCAAAGCCCCATGAAATGAAAAAACAAGTTCTTTTTAGTTTCACAAATTGTGAAGAAGGCCAGGTGAAACCAGAAGCATGAAAGGCTGTAGGAAATTTGAAGCACAGTAAGAACTCAGGGGCCTCCTCTCTCTCACTGTTGAGGAGAAAGCTAAGTTCTTGGATTCTTATAGGGCCAGCAACCCTGCCACTCAGGAATTTGTTTTATATACCCTTTTATCTTTGGACCAGAGCTTTATGTAACCTCTCCAAACCACACGCCTTTCTGGGGTTATCTCGCAGCTGCAAACTGCAGTCTCCTTGATAGATGTCTGCCCTTGGGAGATTCATAGAGATTGGTAGTGTGAGAATGAGAGCTGTTGCAGGTGTTCCTTCAAAGAAGAGTGCAGAAGTAATGATACATTCTCTTGAAAAGATAAACTTCCTAAAAATGTTTTTATACTCATTTATCAAGAGCTAACTGGGGGGGGGGGGGGGGGGNCAGAAGTAATGATACATTCTCTTGAAAAGATAAACTTCCTAAAAATGTTTTTATACTCATTTATCAAGAGCTAACTGGGGGGGGGGGGGGGGGGAAGGGTTTAAATGTATTATATACGTGTTAGGATAGATCAACTACAGTAACAGAAAAATGTTACTTTGATGTTCTTGTTTCCTGTTTCTCTGATAAGCCTCAACTTTCCATTACTAAAACTACAAACTTATTTATATCTACACCTGTTGTTTCCTTTTGCATTCTTTCCTTGACTCTCTTAGTTCTCCAAGGACATGGGAACCTCTTTTTCCTTTGTCAATTATTTTCTGTCTTTCCTCTGCCTTAAGTATCTCATCTTCTAACATTGTCCTATTATAAGTAAGTGTTCCTGGGGCACCTGGGTGGCTCAGTTGGGTAAGCATCTGACTTCGGCTCAGGTCTGGTATCACGGCTCATGAGTTTGAGCCCTGTATCAGGCTCTGTGCTAATAGCTCAGAGCCTGGAGCCTGCTTTGGGTTCTGTGTTCTCCCTCTTTCTCTCTACCCCTCCCCTGCTCATGCTCTGACTCCCTCTCCTTCAAAATAAATAAACATTAAAAAACAAATTTTTAAAAAAGTAAGTGTTCTTTGGTGCATCCCATCTTTTTTTTTTCTTTCATAGTTTATTGTCAAGTTGGTTTCCATATAACACCCAAGTGCTCATCCCAACATCCCATCTTTTTTTGTTTTTTAAGTCAGGCTGTTGAACTATAATTTGCATAGAGTAAAATTTACTCTGTTTAATACATAGTTTGGTGAGTTTTGACGAATTTATAGTTGTGAAACCACCACCATATTCAAGTAGAACCTTTCATCACCGCAGAAAGTACCTTCATCCACCTTTGCAGTCAATCCCTACCCTCCTTCCTCTGCCCTGGCAACTCCTGATCTGATTTCCATCCTTACAATTTTGCCTATTCTTGATTATAATATAGGTGAAGACATATGGCATATTGTCTTTTGTGATTGATTGGCTTCTTTCACTTAGCATACATTTTTGAGATTCATCCATATTATTATACATCTCAGTAGTTCTTTTTATTGTGAAGTAATATACCATGGTATGGATATTCCATTATATGAGTTGCCCAGTCATCTCCTTTTGGACATTTGGGTTCTTTACAGTTCCTGTATATTAGGAATAAATCTGCTACAAATATTCACATATAGGTCTCTCTGTGGACATAAGTTTTCATTTCTTCTGAGTAAATACCTAAGAGTAGAATTGTTGGGTCATATAATAAGTATATGTTTAACTTTATAAGAAACTGTCAGGCTGTTTTCTAAAGTGGCTGTAGAATTTTGCATTCCCCTCAAAAGTTTATAAGAGGTATAGTTGCTCTACATTCTCACCAGCCCTTGGTATATTTAATATTTAAATTTAGCCATTCTAATAGGTGTGTAGTGGTATCTCAGTGTGCTTTTAATGATCATTTCTGTAATGATTAATGTTTTCTTAAGCTTATTTGCCATCCTTGTATGTTCTTTGGTGAAGGTCTATTCAGACCTTTTGTTCATTTTTAAATTGAGTTATTACTTATAAAGAACTCTCAGAACTCAATAATATGTTCTCCATATGGTCCTTTCTTAGATTTGTAAATATTTTCTCTTAGTCTTTAGCTTTCTTTTCACTTTCTTAACAGTGTCTTTCCAAGAGAAGATGGTTTTAATTTTAATAAAGTTTAGCTTATCATTTTGTTGTAATTCATGATATTTGCTTAATAATCTGAGATCACAAAGACTTGTCTCTTCTATGCTAAATATGGAAATAATAAATGTGAGTAAAACATACAAATGTACTTCTCTTCATTTTTCTCCTGTGTTTTTTAATAAAATTTTAAAACATTTTTACTTATTTTTGAAAGACAGAGAGAGACAGAGCACAAGCAGGGGAGGGGCAGAGAGAGAGAGAGAGAGAAAGAGAGAGAGAGAGAATCCAAAACAGGCTCCAAGCTGTCAGCACAGAGCCCGATGCAGGGCTTGAACCCAACTGTGAGATCATGACCTGAGCTGAAGTTGGACATTTAACCAACTGACCCACCAAGGCACCCCTCTCCTGTATTTTCTTCTTACAGTTTTATAGTTTTAGCTCCTATATTTAGGTCTATGATCCATTCAAGTTAATTGCCTTGTAGGCAAGGATCACAGTTTAGTTATATTCATATGGATTGTTAAGCACCATTTATTGAAATTACTATGCTCCTTTGCTGAATTTTGGTGCCTTTATTGACATATAACATATATATATAATTAGTGTACTTATGTGTATATATATATTTGTTATAACACATGTTAATAAAGACCTCCCTCAACCCAACATGCCCATTCAGCTATGAATTCATCACTTCCAGTTCATAATTATTTATTAAAGACTAGTCTAGACTCACTGTTTCTGCCTTCTCACTTCTTACTCCTCACACTGGGCTATTTGTCCACCATTCCACTAAAACATCTATTGCAAGAATCATACTAGTCTCTGTTCTAAACTGACATGGGACACTCTTGTACTTGCTCATTTGATTCTCAATGGCCTTGACCTCAAAGACCCCTCACTCCTCTTTTGGATTTTTCTTCACTTGACTAATAAAACATCCCACCATCTTCCTTATTTTTCTTGTTTTTCTTTTTGTCCCCATGTGTCTACTTTGCTAGCTCTACTTCTTTTGACTATTTCCTAAATACCAATGTCCCATTGATTCCAACCAAAGCCATTTTTTTCTCCTTCTGTGTACATTTTCTCCTTATTCTCATCCAATCCCCTGGCTGAAAAAAAGTCTCAAGTTTACATCTGGCCCAAATTATTTCTGAGCTTCATTTCTGTGTATGTAATTGTCTACCAAGACCACAAGCTCTATGAAGAAAAGTACCTTGTATGTATCTTGTTTCCATTTGTATTCCCATGTTTAGCACACAGAATTTAACAACTATTTGTTGACTAAGTGAACAAATGAATACATGAACAAAGTAAGTAACCTGTGAAGTTGATATTATATCTTCTAATCCTAGTATAATATTTGAATACTGGCCTTTTTACTGATACCACATATATGTAGCAAGTACATGACTGTAGGCACAGGAGAAATAGATTACTTTTAGAATCACATGCTTAGTCTCTGCCATGGCTCAGTTTTCTTGTTGCAGTTGGTGGGGAGCCTTGGGATGAAGAGGTGGGAAATTGAGCTAGGCAGGAGCAGGCCAGAGTGAGAGAATGAAGAGACACCTGTCTGGATGTCACAAACACTGTGTCTCAGGTTTTTTAATCCAGCAATTTCCTTCAGGAATTAACCTGTGTTGTTTGGGGAATAAAATATTTTAATGGCCCTATTAAATTCTGATTGTAACTTTAGTTATAATACATTCTTCCTCTTTGACTTTTTGCCCAAGTTTTTATGTCTCTGTAACATTTTTTTCTTAGTACTAAAATGATTCTTAAGAGTTATAATGGAAGACATAAACTGGGTAATGTAGATTCTTTTGGCTCTAGTATGATGAATATTTTTATGATCTGTGTGTTCATATCAGAGAGTGTGTATGCTTGTTGTGGGCTTAGTGTTATGATTGGCACTTTGGGGGTATTTAAAAAAAAATACTAATTAGATACTATCTTCATTGGCCCCCTCAGGGAGCATACACCTTTAGGGATAGAAGAGCCACCACCAGCAAATAAACCACAACAGCCTTTAGGCAGTTTATAGTGTCTAGTACATGCTGCTTGGCAAGAAAAATAGTGTCCTGCCACTAGACATGTACTTTTGGCCTTGCCTGTCATTATGAGCTGTTCTGAAAGTGTTAAGGGTTTCTCTATAAATGCCCTTTTTATTTGTTCTGGAGCATGTGGTCCCTTACATTTCTCTGTCTCTCTCTCCTACATTTCAGTGAGCGGTTTCTGGTGAGACTGAACAAGAATGGTGGGCCAAGGAACCCAGAGAAGATAGAACGAATGTGTGCCCTTTTTACAGTATGTGCAAATTCTCTTTCCCTTCTCTGCTGTTGACTCTAGCCAGGGGCTGCTGTGTGGATTTTGTCACCCTGGAAACAAGCCTTTATTCTTACTTCCCCACATAATGGGGAGAATAGGACTTGATTTATGTTTCTGTCAGCTTTTAATGAAATACTTAAAACCGAAATCAGCTACAATTTTTAACTGAATTATTATTAAGAAATACAATCAAGTACATTTAACTAGTGTAGTTCTTATAAGCTATTTAATAGAATAGACAAAATCTGACAAAAGTCTTTCTTACTGTTCTTATTTAAGGTCACTGAGAATTTCTCTGATGTAGAAGTATAGTTTCTCTAAAGGCATCCACCAGATTTACAGCTTTGCAGTCTTTTAGTGAGTGCATAGTGCATAGAAGGAGAAACAAACTAAGTAGTTAATCTCTCTCACATATCAAATGGTGGGTCTTTTCCTGCTATGATCTATACTTTCATTTTTTCCAAATAACCATGCTGTCATGATGGTCTCTAAGATCATAGTCATCAGCTCAGAGAAGGTTTAGTAACCTGCTTATGGAAAGTGCTCAGCCTCACAGTACCACAATGCCTTGTGAATTCTTCAGGTTGATTCTGATTTACTAATATTTTTTATTTAGTTAAAAAAACTAAGTGTGCAGTTTTGTTTATTTTAGTTAGTTTATTTGCTGAAGGAAAAAACAAGACTGTGTTATAGTTTTAAACCACTTTTGACTCTCATGGATTCCTTGAACTGCTTCAGTGATACTGAGATACATTAAGACCCATTAATGAAAGGAGGTGTGATAGTCTCACAGTGTCACTGCCCTTATGTGTGGTGCATGGTTGATGGGTGACAGTCAGGTGGCTCAAAGCTTACATTGTGCCTCTTAGACATAAATGGGACTTATCTAAGGATCTGATATGTGACTTTCTCTGAAAAATAAAATAGGATTTGTTTACCTGACTTTTTTGTTCATTTACTACAACTTTATCTTTCAAAACCTCAGACAATGTTACTGCAGAATCAGAAGCCACTTTCACAGGGATTGTTCCTATCGAAAATGCTCCAGATGTACAGAAAGATTTATGAGACAAGTAAAGCTAAAGTGATTTTTTTTATCCATCATTGAGCTCAGCATTCAAACCTTATGAGATAATACAAAAAGAAAGAGTAGGTAAGGCATACCTATGATGGGGCACCTGGGTGGCTCAGTCAGTTAAGCATCTGACTTGGGCTCAGGTCATGATCTTACAGTTCATGGGTTTGAGCCCTGCATTGGGCTCTGTGCTGACAGCTAGCTCAGAGCCTGGAGCCTGATTCAGATTCTGTGCCTCCCTCTCTTTCTGACCCTCCCCTGCTCACACTGTCTCTCTCTCTCTCAGAAATAAATAAAAAACATTAAAAAAAAAAAAAAAAAGCAGACCTATGAAGGCAGTTACGGGAGGTACCATGGTTTAGTCTGGGAAAATCAACACTGTTTCTTCAGTAGGAGAAAGGGAAACAGTACAAGTTGTCATTAATTGGATTTAGATTAGAATTCTGAGAGAGAGCTTCTGAAGTGAGAGTGTCTAAACACCAAGGTAATCTCTGGGGCCATTTTTCTGAAACAGAATTAGAAAAAAAAAAATGAGACACCCATCTGTCTAGAATGCCTCAGTGACTGTAGGAGGTCTTTCTAGATCCTGGTTCTCTGACATTATTTGGTTAAAGCAGCAAAAGAAATCATTGATTCCTTGTTCTTTGGCATGGTAGGAACAGAGCTTTGTACATGTGCTGTCCTTGAATATCAGGAGTGCAGTTCTTGTCTCTTGAAAAATGAACTTAATTATGATGATATTTCAGTGTAATTACAGTAAATCAAAAATTTCATTTTGCAGCATTTTAATTATCTATATGGGCCCAGAGGCCTAAGCTGTGCTCTGACTTTATAAATCAAAGATGCACATAGCATTCATGAGGTGCTCTTATTCTGCCACAATGGGAAGACAAGGCTGCTAAAAATACCACTTTTATAGTTCCCTTTGCGGTACAACCCTGGATTTTTTTAAGACCCCAAAAAGTGATTTGAGAAATTTTTACAAAGCACTTGAAATTTTTGAACAAGATTGTCTTAGCCAGAATTTTCATGTTCTACTTTAAGCTATTTGAAATAATAATTTTGGTGGAACCTGTTTTCTCACTTAAGACTTGAGTTCCTCCTATGAGATAAAGGAGTTTTCCAGATTGACATATGTGCTACAAAGTTTGTGAGTAAATGCACAAAAATGCAGCCAGAACTGTGGTCATTGCCAGCCTGTTAGCCTACCTTAGCATAAGAAGAGAGGACAATACAAACTGCAGGTTTGCAGGATTACATAAGCAGACTTCAGAGCCACATTACAGACAAGCACATTATTCATGGTTCAACCTTGTTCTCTGTAAAACCTGTGTTTTTTTCTGCCCTTGTTAGATTTCAGAGCTTCCTGTCCAGGAAGAATTTTATCAAGAAGGAGGTGTTTCATATTTATGTGAATGTCTAATACAAATACAGTGAGGATTTTGCTGACTTTCATGATAAACAATGGCTATGTGTATGAGTGTGTGAGAATGTGTCTGTGGATTTGCTCATTATTCGATATTTAGTGATTCATATACAAGGCCTGGCAAATACTAAGGCCTCCATATGATTTGTTACATAAGTAAATGAATATATTTATTTTTTATCATATTTGAGTGACCAACTCAGAAAATGAACTTCTGCTGTTTTCCTTGCTTTCATTGTCATTAGATTTTCTACATTTATTTATACTCTTCTGCCTCTTCTGTAGTATAAGTATGAACAAATTGGCTTTCTTTTATATTTATAAATCCTATTATCTCTACAGAAAAAGGGCAGTTCAGGCATAGGAAAGTGAGTTGACTTTTCCATGTTTCGAATGGAACGTCATTAACTTGAGTCTAAGATGCTGAGCCCTGAGGGGCACCTGGGTGGCTTAGTTGGTTGGGCATCCGACTTCACCTCAGGTCATGATCTCATAGCTTGTGAGTTCAAGCCCCATGTCAGTCTATGTGCTGACAGCTTGGAGCCTGGAGCCTGATTCAGATTCTGTCTCTGTGTTCTCTGTGTCTCTGCCCCTCCCCCACTCACACACTGTCTCTTTCTCTCAAATATAAATAAACATTTAAAAATTAAAAAAAAAAAAAAAAAAAGATACTGAGCCCTGAAGAGACCTGAATAGTATTGGAGTGTATATGCTCCAGTGAGTAAATCTAAATTCAAATTCCGCCCACTAGATGAATGGTGGAAATCTCTCCTCGCATCTTGGTTTTACAGGTTTTGTGAGTATTTTAATATGGATAGTCCTACTTCGTACTTAGTCTTGAAGACTGTATGTTTACTAACTCTATGGTAGCTGTATTTAACTATACACTTATGTTTAATAAGGTAGCTTTCACATTGAAATTTGACATTGAAATTATGTGGGACTCACAATAATTTTATTTAAAATGTTTTTTGTACTGAATATTACCATTATATATTTATTCACTTCAAATAAATACCACAGAGAGTTCTGGATACCGTGTACAACATGGTTAAGACAGGGCCCCTACTTGGAACTACTTGGAAAATACCATAAATTATATTTAAGTTTTCTGTCTTCCATGTACTGAGAGCCAAGAGAGAGGTCCTGTGTTCATGTATACAACTGATATTAGTGTTTGATCATCTTTGGTAACTGACTTGCATTCTGAGATATAGGGATTAGTAATTACATTGGTTATTTGATAGTTTGGATTAACACAGTCCAAGCTATATAGAGGAACCATTCATTTTGAAATGTGTCAAACATTTCTATATCTTTCAGTAAATAGATATATTTCAGTCCCTAAAAAAGCACATATAAGTGGTAATCTGTTTTTTAATTTTTATTTAGTAGCCATTTTTAATACGTGTCAAAATACAGTGATATTTTGAGGATACTGTTTTAAATTACATTTCTAAATTAAAGGAACTGGTGAAATGGAGCCTGAACCATCCTTTTTCAATATCGAAAGACGTCCTTCATGTAAAAATATTTCTTTGTATTTCCAGAGATACCAGTTTATGTTAAATTATTTTGTACTCTATTTCATTATAAGCGTGTTTCATTATTCCATCAAGAATTTGGTGAGACATCATAACCATCTAGAATCTAAAAGTTTCAATTTCACCCTTGCTCATTACTTTTCAATGTCTCCTTTCCTTTCGTATGTTTTGTCCCACTCCACGGGGCAGAGCTGGGACTACAGGGAGGTAAGCAAAGCCCAGGACCCTGAGAGTGAGACCTCCTTAAACTTTGCATCTTAGATGCCTTACTTGCCTCACCGTGGTCCTATCCCTGCAACAAGGTATAAAAATAAAGCGAACATGGAGACTCTGGATCTCAAGGCTCATTCGAAGTTACAACTGCCACTTGATTGTCCCTTTCCTGGCTTTACTAAAAAGACAAAAGACTGTGGCACCAATCAAAAGATGAAAGATAGGAAGGAAAGGAAACTAAGGGAACTTTTCTTTAGAAACAAAAGAGAAATCTTGGGACTCTGTCCCATTAAGGACAGAGGTTATTCCATCAATCATCATCAACTCACAGCAGTATTTCAGAATAAATAGTGGGTTGACCTGGTGAAAAGTCTGAAACAGAGTATACATTAAAGAGTATTTTATTACTTTAAGTACAATGAAAGTATAAATACATAATCATGATTTTTATAATAATAAATAATAATTTTTATTTCAAAATGTGTTCTTAGCATAAATAACGTAATGTATAAAGTCATTTTCATAACTCTAATTTTAAAAGTCCCTGATTGGATTAGATTTGTTTATTTATAGGAAGCCCTTAGAATTTTCCAGATAAGATTATTTTCAGCATTATACTTCAGTATGGATGATGCATATCTAAATTTAGAAGTGGACATCCAATTATTGAGGTTTCATTAAGGCTAAAATACTCTATTCACAAGGGAACACATCTAGTGTATAATAATCATTGTGGACAACAGAACAAACATAAAATTAGCATAGAATAAACTTAGAATTTTCATCATTAATAAGGTTATTGGTGTTTTCCTATTTTTTTCCTGCATGGAATACTCCTTTTGTTATAAAATTTTTTATGTAATATTATAATTAACATGGATAAGGCAATATCAAAATGATTTATAACGTGAGAACTCTTATAGATATTTATTGGAAAAATATTATCAATAAGATAAAGTTCCAGAGGCATATAGGATATTCAAACTTTCACTGCAAGAATCTTATAAACACTGAACAACTATGTGCTTTAGTCCCCTCCCCATCTGTAACATCTGCTAAAAGCAACAAAAGCAAATGATTATGAGGTTCAAAATGAACTTTTATTATTTTCTGTGTGTTCATTGCCTTACTTTACTTGTTTCTTTTTCTTTTCTTAGGATTTGAGCAGCAAAGATATGAAGAGAGATTTATATATAGTAGCACATGTGATACGAATAGGTACTGTCGACCTTATCCGTTCACATGACTAAGACCAGCCCACCTTGGGATAAGTATCTACTACGTTTGAGCTTTATCATCTCCCTAGCTCTTACCTACTATGTCATGTCTTAGGTTGAGAGTCCAGTTTGTATTGGAACTCTACCTTAGGCTCAGCTGCTATGATAGCTGTGAATGTGACATAAATGAAAGCATGTTTTTTTTTCACTTAAAATCTTCTGCTCCCTGCTTGTTTTTGGACCCAAGCTCTTTATTTCAAGTGGTCTGATTTTTCATATTCTTTCCATCATAATGCCCTGCCTTTGTACCAGCTTTCCACTTCAGAGGTCTTACAGCAGGTTGCAGACTTGCCAACTTAATTGGTGGTGAATGGCCTTTGTTGCGTTTTGTTTCCAAAAGTATGTATCTGTGCTGTTTTCCACTAAATTATAGTTATTGTCTTTGCTGCAGTAGATGTGTGGTATATCACTTTCACCCCCACCCAAGATGAAAACAGTAATTTTTGCTACTGTTGGTGATTTGTTCAGCTTTATTTCAGGCATATGGCATAATTTGGGGGGTATGACTAACCAAGTCTTCCTCCATAGGAATACGTACATTTTTGTCAAAGAATATTTTTTAATCCTTTGCCAACAAAACACCTATTTTGCTATACTTTTGGGTTTTGTTTTGCTGTACTTAATAAGCATTTGCTGAGGTTCCAGTTTGGTTTTTACAAGTCCTCTTGCCACTATAGGCACAGCCTTGGTAGGCAGGAAAAACAAGGTCCCATTCACTTTCTGAGACTGCTTTGGCTCCAGCAGTGCTTCAGGAGCAGCTTTGATGGCAAAATTTGGTTGGAAGAATAACACATTGCTACTATCTTTACATACGTAGTTTTTACCTGGCAGCTAAAACATTAAACTTTGTATCCTTGATATGCCTAAGAAGTTTAAGTCTATTAACACAGTGGTTTTTCTAAGAAATTTGTAAAACCACTGTTTCATTCTAATATGATTAATAAATGGACTGTTGATATTAAGGTAGATAATAAAGATGATGATTGAATGTGGTGCAGAGGAAGAGCCCTGGCCAAAGACCTGTTTGGCATTCCTCCAGATAAAGATTCTGCATCCTTGGATGGCTCCCTTCGATCCTAAGTTAGTCTTCCCATTTAAGCGCCTATAGCTCTGGCGTCTTTGGATGACAATCAGGTGATACTGAAGAGGAGCATGGAGTTCTCAGTCTAACTGGTGTTTTCTGCTGTGCTTCAGGCCGAATGCTCCTGAATGACTCAAAGAAAGGCCCTGCTCACCTGCACTACCGGCGACCATATGGCTGTGCGGTCCTAAGCATCCTGGATGTTCTGCAGTCGCTCACAGAATTAAAGGAAGAAAAGGATTTTGTTCTTAAGGTTTACACGTAAGTAATAGACATCAAAAATACTAATGATTTGCAACATAAGGCATTCCAGCACTACCTTTGAGAGCAGCAGTGCTCAAGCTTTATGGGACACAGAGCCACCAGAATATGTAGGATAGGGAGTTTTTTGAAAATGCAGAGATTTTGATCTAAGGTTTGTGGTGGGGCCCAGGAAGCTATATTTTTAGTAAGTTTCCCAGGTGATCCTAAAGCAGCTGAATTTGGAAAATTCTAAGCTAGAAGTCTGGCAGTATAGACTTCTATACTGCCTTTTCTATCTAGGATTAACCAACATTATTACATTTTTATAGAAAAACTAATAGTACAATTTCATATGTATTTTGGATGTAAAAAAGTCATCTTTGTCTAAAGATGCCCCCTAGCTATTGTAACTGAGCTAGGTACCGATGCAAATTGCTTCAAAGAACAATCATGAGTCAAATTGCCTGTCTAAAGAAAAGCAAGATTTTCTAAGGAGCTATGGTTTCACTCTTCACTTCTGGGACCACAGATCCATAAGTCACACCCAACTAGCCCTGGCATTATTTTTAGTGTTCAACAGCCAATGGATCTGCCTTATAGAAGCAGTGCATCCTCCTCCTGATTCTTATTAAGCAACAGAAAGAAACAAATGAAGAAAACAACCCACAAAATTGAGGCATATCATCTGTCTTTGCAGGTAGAGACTTAGGAATGAATTGTAGTGCTGAAAACATGATCAGTGGTGAGTTTAGTGAGTTTTTAAAGCAAGTGTGTTTCTAACTCTGAGAATTAAAAAAAAACAAAAACAATGATCTGTCCTCTTTGGTTTTAACCCAATACTGTTTTTCCAAATGAAATCTAATAGTGTCAATCACCATGTTAATATATCTGCATCATAATATTGTGTGGATATTTTTCTGTATTGTCTGTTCTAATTCAGGCATGAAATGAACTTAGTTCACAATTACACTTAATTTGGGCCTTTTAAAATCAACCACATTTTATTAATTTCAAAATATAAGTCCAGACCCCTTTATTACCTGTTTTGCCATAAGTACTATTCTGTTCAGAGTTCTGTACATTATGAGATGAGGATCTTCCTTTGGAATAGTACCCTACAAAGGAAATTTTGGTGGGTTTTCTCTTCCTTTCATGCATCAGTCAGAGACTTGCTCCGTATACCAAATCTCTTCATTGATGACTGGCAGGAACTGCTTCTTGAAACATCTTCCTCCCTTTGAAAAGGACTAAACAGGATTCCAGAGTCATCATCATTATCTTTTACTCCACTTTATCCTCCCCAAGGGCAAGGAGTTTGTAAATAGCACTCCTGAATTGCATCTCTTTGCATGTATCAGCTGTTCCTTGCTTCAGTGCAAGTTCTCATTGTGGATAGGGGCTTGCACAGCATCCCTCTTGAAATCATGCTGTCAGGCTTAATTGGCCTAATTGCTTCTTTTTTTTTTTTTTTTTTGTGGGTTTTTTTTTTATTTTTATTTTATTTTTTTATTTTTTATTTTTTTACAAATAGTTTATTGTCAAATTAGTTTCCACATAACACCCAGTGCTCATCCCCACAAGTGCCCTCCTCCATGCCCATCCCTTCTCCCCCCCACATCCATCAGTCCTCAGTTTTTGTCAGCATTCAAGAGTCTCTCATGGTTTGCCTCTCTCCCTTTCCTCCACCATTTCCCCCCTTCTTCTCCCGGTTGGTCCTCTGTTAAGTTCCTCCTAATCCTCCTATACGTGCACACATATGATATTTGTCCTTCTCTGCCTGACTTATTTCACTCAGCATAACACCCTCAAGGTCCATCCATGTTGCTACACATGGCCAGATTTCATTGTTTCTCATTGCCATGTAGTATTCCATGGTATAGATAAACCACATCTTCTTGATCCATTCGTCCGTGGATGGACACTTAGTCTCTTTCCATGTTTTAGCTATTGTAACCACTATATGCAATTCAATCTGATATAGATATGTGTTTCCTCTTGGCCAGAGGGAGTGGGATCACAGGCAGGCACAGGGCATATTGAACCTGGAGACTAGGACACAAAAGGAGAAGAGTGCTAAGAAGCCAAAGCCAACACTAGGGTGAAGTCAGAGTGCTGTAAATGATGCATGTGACCAAATACATAATGCTTCTGAATATGTAATGACCATTCTCCAAATTCACAGTGAGACAGTTCAAATAAACATTTTTAGGTCAACCTTAATGAAATAAATAAATACTACTTAAATATTAAATCTATTATGTTATATTTTAAATCATATTAAATGTGTATTACCCATTACATACTCAATCACATGTTATATGAAATTGAGAACTATTGCTTTTTCCCCACTCTCATGTGGGATGAGAAAATTTTAATCAAATTCTTCATATGCAACCATGCCATCAGTTTTTTGCCAACATTAGAGCCACTTTCTGTGTCATCTGACATGGTTTTCCAAGGCACATTTTCACTTCCATCAGGTGTTTTTTTTTTTAATTTTTTTTTAATGTTTTATTTATTTCTAGGAGAGAGAGACAGCGTGAACAGGGGAGGGTCAGAGAGAGAGGGAGTCACAGACTGAAACTGGCTCCAGGCTCTGAGCTGTCAGTCAGCACTGAGCCTGACGCGGGGCTCGAACCCACGAACCGTGAGATCATGACCTAAGCGAAAGTGGGACGCTTAACTGACTAAGCCACCCAGGCGCCCCCATCAGGTTGTTTTTGATATATCACTCTTTGAATCCTTGATGATACTTTCACTGAAAGTTCATCTCGAGACTAAATTACATTTTTGCTGAACATTTGGACACTTTATGTTTCTGTGTCTTCATCTGTCCCACAGGCCCATGTATGTGACCTTAATGATACAGCCATTTACTTGCTGCTTTTAAGGTGAGCTTTACAGTAACATCCAACTCTTCAATTTGGAAGTCATGCCTAAGGATAATTACTAAATCTGTGTAGTTTTGCTATTTAAAAAATTTTGCTTTTTTAAAAAATTTTTAATGCTTATTTAATTTTGAGAGAGAGAGATACAGAGTTGAGCAGGGGAGGGGAAAAGAGGGAGACACAGAAACTGAAGCAGGCTCCAGGTTCTGAGCTGTCAGCACAGAGCCTGACGCGGGGCTCAAACTAGACTGTGAAATCGTGACCTGAGCGGAAGTCGGTCACCTAACCGACTGAGCCACCTAGGCGTCCCTTAAAAATTTTTTCTTAACCAATTCTGTCAGTAAGCTGTATAAGCATCTAAAACTTGCATTGATTGATATATAATTTCAAGCTAATGTAACTTACCCGAAACAGTGCTATGACATTCAAAATAAAGGGATTCAGAGAATGCCCTATATCATGAATGGATTTGTGATAATGGAAAATAAGGTGGCAAACTTTTCTCTTTTGTGATGATTGGAAGGGACCCTCTCCTTGTATCCTTGTAACAGCCATTTCCTCAGAACGCTGCTTTTAGAGTCTTTGTTTCATAGCCACTTTATCCATGAAACTGCCTCAAGTTGAGAGTACTTGTTTAGGAGTCATTCTTAAACAAGCAGCTATTCTTAGATGGGTAAAGGGCCATTGGACCATCCTGTTTTGGTACAGACAAAAAATAAAGGCTCAAGTCTTTAGGTATAACAACATTAAATGAAAATACTCCTTCTCACTTGCAACTCAGTTAAGCCAGTAACTCATATTTCTCCCTCTCCTAGCTCAGGCCTTCCCAATTTCTATGCATTTCCTTTCCAATTTTCCATGGATCATCATCCACCAGGACTATTACCTGCTGTGTATGTTGTCAGTGTATGAGCATCTACAGCAAATGTCTGCTCAGGCCATACAAAGAAGACCTAAATCCAAAAGGTCTATGGCCATGGAACTACTCTGTTTTGACTTGCAGTGCCTACTATCTCTAGCCTCAGAGCCCAGTGGATTTGTTTGTGTGTGTGTGTGCTGCTGCAAAACAGAACTCATTAAGCATAAGCCAGAGTAAAGAAAGTCAGCTCAGGTTATTGCTGTTCATGTAGAAGTGAGAAGGTCATGACTCTAACATAGACATAAGTGTTGGCTCATTGAGTTCCCAAGTATTCTCTGCCACAGGCTTGGAAAACACACGTGTGTTCTCCCTTCCCTTTCTGTTCTGCAGGGAGAGTGACATTGAAAGAATGATGGCTATAAGAGTAGACAAACACAGAACTGCCTTCATATAACAACTTTAGTAGCCAATTTAACAGTAGCCAGATGGGGGTTCCTGGTTGGCGCAGTCAGTTGAACATCCGACTTCATCTCAGGTCATGATCTCACCGGTTTGTGGGTTGGAGCCCCGCTTCTGGCTCTGTGGTGACAGCTCAGAGCCTGGAGCCTGCTTCAGATTCTGTGTCTCCCTCTCTCTTTGCCCCTTCCCTGCTTGTGCTCTCTCTCAAAAATAAGTAAACATTTAAAAACCTAAATTAAAATAAATAAAAGTATCCAGTGGTATGTATGACCCCATCTTGATTCTTTTTAAGATAATACTTTCATCTATTAGGTAATTGGATAGATGAGGTGATTGGTAGATAGAAGCTGTAAGATTTGCAGAAATCACCCTAATCCCCTGAACTTCAGTTACCTCATCTATAAAATTTGAAAAAAAAGAAATAAAGTAATACAAGAGACCAAAAAAATCCATACGAACTAGTGAATCAAACAAGAAAAAACTGGTAAATAAATGAGAGGAAATGAGGTATAACCAAGTAATGGGCATGCTGCATGTCATCTAAAAAGGAGTTTCCTGTTTTTTGTTTCTTGTTTTTTTTGCTAATGACTCTTGGTTATTGGCAAGTTCCACTTTTACATCTAAACTACAAATTCTGTATAATTCCATGCATAATATCTTCATTACTCCATAGAGTCACATAAAATGTCAACCTATTCTTAGTAGTAATGCCAGTGTACATTTGCTTCATATTCTGTGCTCTTTCAGAGCCCTTCTAGATATATAATCACATTGAAACTTTATACCAATCCTGTGCACTGAGTGGGACTTCA